GACGCCACTGGTTAAAGCACAGCCGTAGGGCCGGAGTTACCCACCCCTGGTTTAGATACATGTTCCTTTCCATCCCGTGTAGAGCCATCAGAGCAAGATGAATGCTGATTGGTTGATATTTATGCGGTGTCGCCCTACAATACGCTGGAGTGAATGTATTCCCAGCAGTCCCTATCTCTTAAAGGGAAAGTACCAGGATTAGGGTGTGGGCTGCCATCGCTGATCTCTTCCTGGAAACACTAGGCGCCTCCTCTGTCATATCAATCCGCTGGCTTTGGTATTCTGAGCCTCGGGCCTGCTCTGGTTAGAGAAGCCAGGCGGTTGGCATTTTCAGAAGGTCAGGAGCAGTCACGCTATGGGGGAGCGGTCACGCTATGGGGGAGCGGTCACGCTATGGGGGAGCGGTCACGCTATGGGGGAGCGGTCACCGATGCTTTTCTGCCAGCATGCGTTGATGATGATGTGCCCCCCTTCCCCCCCCATGAGTCCATCACCCGTACACTGCGGTTGGTTTGGTTGGGAGCCATTCAACCTTCCTGTATGTGTTTGGAATGTTGGAGGAGACGTCGCCAAGTCACGCATCAGAGAAAATACATACTCCACGTGGATCAGAGGTGTGCAACTCCGGCCGTCTACCTGTGCAATTTGCAAATCCCATCATACCTCCGGGCGTCATGCCTGTAACTGTCAGGTTTCAGAATACCTCATGGGACTTGTAGTACCACAAGGGCCTGAGTTGCTCATCCCTGATGTAGATTATTTTCCCAGCTGGGGACTAAAAAAAAATGACATACTCCATGTGGATGCAGATGAGGAACCCCGGAGCCGCTGAGATTATTCTTCACATGGGATTGTCCTCCCATTGAGAATAACGCGGTCAGCAATGTAGGATTTATCTAATGGTACAAAGTCATTAGGAATCTTCCAATCACTGACCCTCCACGGTCCAACCAGAATGAGTATGTTAATGGTATTCAAAATTGCATTTGATTTTTGCCCTTAATTTATGTAGTTTGACTTTTTTTATTATTATTAAAGTGGAACGCCCCCTCCTCTTTTTGGTCCCT